CTTGGCATCTACTAAACACCGTAAACCTCAGCAGCAGTCCCAAAGAGATGTCCTTACAAAATAACTGGTCGCTTTCACTGGTACCTACTATTTCCTGTTGTGTCCTCCTGGAAGATAAGGACACTCAGCATATCCCCCATCAAAGTAAACCTCTCTGAGAGTTCTAAATAACTGTGATCTCACCTTTGGAACAGCCCCGTGAAGATAATGATCTTGCCTACCCAATCCTGTGGTTCTCCAGCCTCTGCTTGGCCTCAGTGTTCTTCCCTAGGTTGATCGGGTTTCTGAGTATTCTCTTGAGGGAACATTCAATGCTCACACAAGCTGCCTCTGGCAGATACAGAAAAAAACCACAGGACAGCTAGTTGTGACCCAATGAATTGTTGTGAGGCTCTGATCAAAGACTCCAGCTTAACTCTAAGTAGAAAAATTTCTGTCTTAAATTAATTTGTAAAAATAAAAACTCTTTATAAGGTGGCTCATTGTAGGAAATCCTGTGCCTTCCCCTTTGAGCACAAGTGTTGCATGAACAACAGTTTGCTATAAGAAACATACCGGATAAGCCACCATTAGCATCTATATCTACTTTGTGTTTAAAAATCAACTGGTAATTCTGAAACACTGTAGAATGGATAAAAATTATTTTGTGATCATAACTCTTTGTTGAACTAGAGTATTTTTGCAGCATTCTTTGTCATCAGAAACATGGTTAAAATTTAAAACTAGAAGCAGCAAAAAACTAGCTTGTAAAATTTATCCAAGTAGAGTGCAGGCTAGGCTGTCTTGGGGAAATAAACATTAAAACTTAAAGCAATGTTTTTTTAAAAAAATTTCTGTCTACCAAACAGTTTGGAGAACCCAAAAGTGGCTATGTAAAATGGGAAGGAGAAAAGTAAGCACTTGGCAACAGAGAGATTGTGGGTCACTGAACTGCAGGCCAAGAGGTGGTCAGTGGGGAAACTGTTCAGGTGGACTCCTTAGAGGGGTGGCTCAGTGCTTCTATGAGGGGCCTTCTGGGGAGATGACTCGGCACTCTGGGAGCTCAGTTTATCAATACTTACCAGGCCCCTCTAACACACCATGGAATATGCTAGGTTGGTCAGAGACGGTAATGATGAAGACACCATGTTTCTTTTAATCAGAGTCTATCATTGGATGCGAGGCATAGCCCAGTGGTAGAGAGCTTGCCTAGAGTGTGCAAGGCTCTGGGTTTGATTCCCAGCAATGCAAAGAGAAAACAAAAGAGCTGATCATTTAGTACAGAAGAGACGACATGTAGGCATGTACCTGTAATCCAAGATACCATGTGATATGAAAGACGTAAACTATTGCCAAGGGCCCCAAAAGAGCTCTTCTCATTTCCCCCTATAAGGCTGCAATATGATCTTTTGGAATTAAGGCATTTTCTCCAAGTAGGTCAGGACACAGGGAGTGAGGGACAACCTTGGCAGAGCTGACTCAGGCTGAAAAACAATCCTACGTAGATTCAACACACAAATACATTTTAAAATTTTCTTTTTAGGAACCAAGAGAAAAGAAATGTATGCATCCAGGAAGCAATTAATATGGAACTGAGGCAAATATTGACTCAAGGCAAGAAACAGAACACCCAAAAGTATGCAGAGCGATAAGTGAGTAAAACATCTTTCAGGACTAGACAACTGCCAGGAGGTGATGGGTCCCTAACATTATTTGAGTGGAAATAACACCAATTGGAGTTCCAAAGAATAGGCCAATAATTGACCTGCTCTCTCCTTTATAAGCCCTCTCCTCAAGGAGCTAACAGTATTTAATATTTTTATCCATGGGTCCCCACAACCTAACTCAATGCCAGGAATATAGTAAATGCTCAGTAGATGTTGAATGAGCAAGGAGGAATGAATGAACGGAGGAGGTAGGTTTTAGGGTCCTGATCATGCTCATTAATACTTTAACTTTGGGTCAAGATGTTTACTCTCTCTAAGCCCTAGTTTCATTATCTACAACCTGAGGATGATTACAGAGCTCTCTCAGAACTCTTATGAGGATTAAATGGCATGGTACAATACTTTGTAAAATGCAGTCCCAAAAGATTTCTTTCAAAATTGGTTATCTTATGTACACAGGAAGGGAACAGACTCTACTGGGGAACCAGACTTGGCCCAAAGCAACCCTGTGGAAGACAAGACACAGTTTCAACTTGATTAGCTTTGGGATCTGCCCCAGGGATTGGAGGAGCACATTTCTAGATGTGTCTGGGTGGTTCCTCAAGTGTGGCCTTCAGGTCTGTGTCCAGCCCCTTGCCCCTCCTCTCTGCCACTGTTTTCCTGCTCTGATTGCTGGCTGTCATTAACTGAGCAGCTTTCCTCCATCAAGCACAAGCCTGTCCACCATGTGCTTGTGCCTTGGAGCAGCCAACTCTGGACTAAACCCATGGAAACTGTGAGCCAAATACACTTCTCCTCCTTTGAGAGTATTAGGTGCGTGTATTTTGTCCCATCAATGGGAAAGGCACTAATACACACCCCTGTTCTGTTTGCCCTATGTGAGGACAGCCCAATGAATTACCAGAAGAGGATGCTCTGTTACCAATGACTCCTGCGCAAACAGTAGTAACAAAATTGCTGATCAAATCAATAACCAGTGACATCAGCAAGGCCATTATTGCCACATAGAGCTGTGGAGTCCCTTAGACTGCTACTTACACACAGGAAGTTTCATTATCCTTTCTCTGGGTTTCCTGACCCTTAGAATTAAGATGTCAGCTGGAGATACAGGCTTTGTTCACATGGAAAGGCTGCTGATTTGTCAAGAACTTTTACACATATGTGCACCCAAACATGCACTGCTAACACTCGCCTGCTCCTGACAAGATAACTGGGCCATGTGGTGACAATATTAATTAGACAATTGCTGCTGAAGACGGAATCTGTAAAGCTCTGCCCTTGCTTTCCCATGAGACTCTACACAACAAACAGCCAATGAGGTCTGGCAGGTCCAAATGGTGTGCTTGTGGTCTCTTCAGGGTAGTAGTTGCAGAGGAAATACTGGGGATACAAAGAGACACCTGCAGACTTCTGGGAATTAACTGGCCTCTAGATCCTTTTATTCCAGAGCCTGCAGCAGTTTCATTAGGGAAGTGGGTGGCAAGGGAAATATCCCAGTGTGCGTGCTTGGCATTCACATAAACTGAGTTCAAACTCCAGGTCTGCCTTGTGCTCACTGTGTGATTTTGAGTTATTTATGTCTTTTTCCCTCTCCATACTTTGCTAATTAGTAGGTAAGGCAATCAACTCACTGTCCTTAGGACATTACTTTCTCATGATCGCGCTTTGCTCTAGTGTACACCACCGCCCAGTACCCTCTGTTTCCCCCTCACCCAAATCAGAAGGATCCTATAAGCCTATTCACATCTCCCATATCTGCAAAGCGCTCTAAAACCTCCCAGATGGATGGAACTTCTCTTTTTTCTAAAATGTCCAGCAATATTGCCAATCTTTCCAGTGTGTGTGACAAAACCCCTTGAAGGTCACAATTGTTTTTAAACTCTTCATACTCCACTTTGGAATGAGATGCATGGCCTGTTATTTCCTGGACCACGTCCTTTGCCATTCTTTAAGGTGAATGGGCATGTTCAAGGTGGTATAGGGGTAGACTGCCATTCTTTACAGAATTTAACATGCTGTAGTTATGAGAACTCAACTTCCCACCATGGACCTGTGGGCAAATCTCTTTGCCTTGCCTTTTAAGAGCATGTAAAAATAGTCATCTTTTGTCCTTGTACTGACAGAAAAGCCACTTCAAAAAAATCTCAGCACCAGTCCACTCTCAAACAGACAGTGTATGCATTTAGTCACCAAGCATGGAGCCCTGCCACGTGGTAGAATCCATGCCCACCTCTGCAGTCCTACTGGATGACTGCTCAGGTCAGGCACTGGTTTCCAAGGAGTACCTGCATCACAGGCTCGAAGGAGCTGATCCGAAGCGCACTCTTCTGGTCTCAACTCCAGAACACCTGAACTCAAGCCTCACAGGCTCTGCCTGAGATCGGAGTGTTAACAAGCTCCCTTCCTGCATCTCAAGTGCGCTCAAGTCGAAGGGATAAACCTCTTGACCACAGAGCATATAATGACCATGTGGTTCTAAAATCGCATCTGCCCCAACATGGAACTGAGGGAACTACTCAGTCACTGAAGGGAAGAAGAGCAAGAGGTGGTGAAGCACTTCTAGGATGACCAGGAAGCATGAGGGCTATGACTGAGGGGAAAGTTTACAGAGCCCCTACCGGACTCTGTCACAGCCCTGGAGTCTCCTTCCACAAGGAATCTGACAGAACAGTTCTCATCTCTGCGGAGGGCCATGCAGTCAGGCATGGCACTTGCAGACTGGGTCAGAGATGGAGAACCTTTTAGAGCTTTCAATGACAATGAACAGCCGACTGCGGCATGCATCCATAGGTTTGCCACCCTGGGCTGGGTCATTAAATGAAAGAATCAGGCACAGAAAACTGAGACAAATGTTTTCCATCCTGCATCCTCCATCTGAAGATTACACAGGGTCAAATCACGTATCAGTGTGATGGATTTCTGTCAATCCCTTGCTCCTCTGATATTAGGAAATAAGCCTTTAAACTAGCACCCAATGTGAGAGCAGTGGAGGCTGAGTGGCACCAGGTGGTAGGAGTATGGGCTTAGGACCTCGACCACTGGTGATCGTGCCCGAGTGTGCTTTTGTACAGAGCAGGGTAGTGTGGTGTCACAGAAGGGTGCTGGTGTGGAGCCAGAGGGCTGTGGTTTAGGTCCAGCTTTTCTAGCCACAGGTATAACATTTTGGCTAAATCCCTTAGGCCTCGGCCTTCCACTCTCTTTATCTGTAAAACTGCCACAATAACACTTACCTCTCTCATCTCACAGAATTGTTATTAAAAAGTCAAGCAAGAAAAAACATAAAAGTGCTTTGTAATCCATAAATTGTATGAGAAAACTGTTTTAATTCTGTGACAAATACAATTCTAGGGCCATTCTTATCATGCTGTTTTCCATGTTCTTTCTTTAACTGGATAAAAACAGTTTAGGTGAGAGCCATGCTTTATCAAAACAGTGTTTCTCTCTAAATCATCTTGCGTCCATTGATAAAGGAATTTTTTGGAATACAGGACTTAGCCCTGGGCTTCACTTCTCGGCTAAGCCAGTCTTACAAACTATAATGCCAGCTGAAGGGGAGGGTGGCAATAGTTGGGGAAAACGTGCCGCAGGCTCACCGTGGTGGCAGGGCAGAAAGAAGTTCCCATGGGCTGGGGGTGCAGCTCCGGGGTGCAGCATGAGCTCAGCACGTGCAAGATGTTGGCCTCCACCCTCAGCAATGAATAACGTAAAATTCCCTCAGGAGTCCACTCAGCGCAGGACAGACTCTGAGACCGTAGTGGGGAAGGGATATTTTACCTTGTTCTGTTCTGCACTGGTTCCAGAAACCACATTTCTAGCTGGAAAAAGCAGGGCCTGCTGGGTTTGTTACAATCTCATTAGGGTTCTTCTGCATTACAGCTTAGAGTGCAATTCTCTTCTGCAGACACAGCGTGATCATCACCTTAGAGGTGGCCATGTCTCAGTGTCTCCTGGTCAGGAGCAGACCTGCAGGCCTTTCCTCAGTGCCCAGCGATGGGCAGGAGCCCAGCAGGAGAGGACAGGAGTGCGCTGAGCGGGAGGGCAGTGTGTTTCCCACCCGGGCTCCTGTTCGTCTCAGTGCCACCTCTTAGTTCCAAGGGAACTGAGTGCCCATGGCTTAACCTCAAAGGAAAGTGCTTTGCGGTCTTTACGACGTTGTTATTGTTATTATCACGATGATGAATTGTGTGTTACGTCTTTCTGATGTGCCAGACAGAGAAGTTTCGTGCGTATCCTTTGATTTCACCTTCGAAACGCTTTGAGGCAGGTGCTCTTATAATCAATTCTCTTACTGGAGGTGAATGAATGGGGTTTGGAGAGTGAGCAGCAGGAGAGCCTTAATCAAAGGCCAGGATTCAAACCAAGGCCTCCAGCACCACATGAGTTGCTATTTCTGCAAGAAGTGGGTCCTTAGCAAAACCAGGGAGCCCTTGCTGTGATGAACTCGAAATGAGCGAGAGCCAGCCCCTTCCTGCCGCAGGCTCCCACCCCACATGCAGTGAACAATGGGTGAGGGGTACTTGCAAGGAGAAGATGGCCTCTGTGCCGAGCACATACAGGTCGTCCTTCTCGTCGCTGTCCCATGCCGGGCAGTGCAGTGACCATGCAGGCAGCAGCCTGCATGATAGGAGATGACTTAAGGAGCTGTGGGTGGAAGGGCGGGCTCAGACTGTACCAAACTCTACGCCGTTTAACACAGGGGACTGGAGCAGTAGAGGGTTTGGTACCTGGGGGTCCAGGAGCCCATCCACCTGGTCCTGAGGGATGCAAGTTGGCTCTTCCTTCAGCCGAGGGGAAGAGTGGGGAGGAGAAGCTGCCTCCCCCAGGTCTCGGGGCTGGGCTGCAGGAGGGGTTTGTATGCTCGTGGCTCACACTACTTCCCAGAGGACACCTCATCACTGACGCTTGGAGAAAAGTCCACTCTCATTCAGTGCGGGAATATTTTGAGTGGGGTTAACACCAATGGCAATGTGGCTTTTACTGTAATAAAAAAAATTTTAAATTAAACATTTACCGTATTTTTGATCACTCTGTGAATTTTATACCATATCCCTAGGAAGGAAGGAAGGAAGGAAGGAAGGAAGGAAGGAAGGAAGGAAGGAAGGAGGGAGGGAGGGAGAAAGAGAGAGAGAGAGAGTCAGAGAGAGAGAGAGAGGGAGAAAGTGTTTTGGGCATTTAGCTCCGTCGGGCAGAACACAAGGAGCTCACCCCAAGGTGGCCACTGAGACCTGTGCTCTCGGGGGTTCACATCCCCTGCTTGGTCCAGCCGCGCCCCCCTGGGCAAGCATCAGCAAATGAGCCCTGCCCAGGCCCCGCCCAGGAAGCCAGGCAGGCCCCTCTGTGCCTCCACCTCTTTCACAGGCCCTAGCCCTCGCTGTCTGTCCAGGAGCCTCACGGGGTGCCCTGGCACCTTCACCCCTTCTCAGTCTCCACTCCCCAGGGGAGACTCACCCCAGGACAGGGCTGGTTGACTCAGTGCACATGTGCTAAGGTCTGCTCCATGTCACCCTGTGCTGAATGCTGGGAAGATCAGTAAGCAAACCAAAGGCATTTAGAGATTCATTTTATAACTCAGGTTGCAGTAAGCAACATCTTTGAAGGGGGTAAGGGAGACCTGAGTGATGGGGTGTTGCTTTTTTAGGTGGTTGGGGAACCTTTCCAAGGAGGCAGTGGCTGTGCAGAGACCTGCATACAGTGATGTAGAAAAGGGCTGGGAGGAGAATGTACCCAAGAGGGAAGAGCGTGTTCAAAGGTCCTGAGGCCAGGGTGTGAGCTCAGGTGAGTGGGTAGGGCTATCATGAAGAGTGCTAAGGGAAAGGTAGAGAGCTGAGACTTTTCCTCTGATGGGAAACCACAAAGAGTTATTGGAGAGAGTAAAATGATCTGATTCACAGTCTTAAACCAAGTTTTAAATTTCCCCTGTGTAGGAACTATGGTGGCAAGAAAGAAGACAGGAAGTGGTTTGGGCTGTCACGTGAGAAATGAGGAGGGTTTGTGCTCAGCAGAGGTGGAGGGATGAGGGACCGGTGTCAAATGTAACTTCATGTCTCGCTAGATGGGAGGAGAGAGGACAAGAGAGGGCTTGGCATTACCGTTCAGATCTAGAGTCCCCCAAATTCTCCTGGGCTCAGAGGTGGGGCATTTGGAAGGCTACCTGGTGACTGGGCGCTGTGCTTATGGGCAGACTCAGCCACTGGTGAGTCCCGGGCTGAAAGCACCTTAGGAGGCTTGGCCTGGCGGTGTGGCTGGTGGGATGAAAGTGCATCCCCCAGTGCCTCCTTCTCTCTGCTCCTGGTCCTCCTTCCTGCCGCTCCTGCCTTGGAGCCCGATGGCCTCGAAATCTCCCTGGAAAGCCATGGACATCTGTGCTTTGCCGCAGTGGCAGAAGTGACCAGATACCTTCAGCCTGAGCAGGGACCAGTTGTACCACTGCCTGAGCAGTTGAGGGGGCAGGTTCGGTCCTGGTGTGAGCTGAGGCACAGGTGCGAGCTCTTCCTCCTCCTCTGGCAGGGCCCAGGACACCCAACTCTACTCGGGACCTCGAAGCTGAGTTTAATTCAGGGGCAACAATTATGCCTCGCCACAGGCTAAGTCTTGTTCTCACTTCTACTTTTTCTCTGAAAAATGCCGCTACTTTGACCCCCACCCTTTTAACTGTTTGCTCCTATTTTTCAACAGGTCCAAGCTGTAAAGGGAGATCATTTGTAAGGAGAGATCGAAAGCTTTAACACTAGAACCTAAATACACATAAACACATCACCCTGCATGCCCACTGTTGGGTGAAGAAGCCGTTTGCTTTCAATGCGTATGAGCGCTGGAGAAGCAGTAAGTTAAAACACAGAGGTTTCTAACCTGTAGCCTGAGTTCATAAATAAGAGACCTGTGAAAATATTTGTACACCAATATTCCTGCAAAGAAAATCGACCCCTTCCCTCCAGCTCTGGGATCATCTCTAGACCGGCTGGGAATTCACAATGAGGAGGACATGCTCCCAGACAAGGCCAAGACCACAGCGAAACGCTCTCAGCTTCTCCGTGCAGCCATGACCCACCTAACCAGCCCCCCATGACAGTCAATCCAGCACCCCAGGGAGATAGCATTGAGCACCTGGATGGTGTAATCAGGAACGGGGAGCGGGCATTGACCAAGCTGACAATTCTTGACCTGGACACTGCCGAGGGCTTTGTAACCATGCACACGGGAAGTGGTGCTCTAATCTCACATCTTACAGAAAGGAAAGTTAAAGGCGGGAGAAATTAAGCATCCTGCAGTTGTAAGGGGCAGCCTGGGGTTGGTTCCAGGCCCATGGCTTCCCTCTGCCCTTCCACAAGCCCCTGCTCCGCATGCTCCCTCAGTCGCTCTTAGCAAAATGTCTCTGCTTCCCCCGTGCTGATCTGTGTCCACCCCCATAGGACTGTCAGGCTTTATTCTCCAAGGAGACAGGTGGGTCCTGACAAATGCAAAGTGATTGTGCAATGAGACAGTGTCAGTGCCGCTTGCCTGCCACAGGGAGAGTGGAGGGAATGCAGCTTAGCGCCTGCTCAGGGAGCGACAGAGCCCAGGGTGACTCACAGGTGCCCGAGGGTGGGGGTGGCCCAGAGAGCCGCCTATCAGAGTCCCAGACATCCTTGGCCTGCAAATGCTCCTGGCTCCATGGAGCCGGATGAACTAGAGTAGGGCGGGCACTCGGGCACATTAGCCCTGGAGCCCCCAGTGTGCAAGGATCAGGCCCTGCTCTGGGAAGAGCTCTCATGCAATCTGAAAATACACCTGGCAGGTTGTGCACTGACCCTGGATGACACAGCTGGTGTCCTGAGTAGATCTGGGGAACAGGACAGGGAGGCTCAGACAGCAGGGAACCCAAACACATCGCTTCTTGGTTCAGAAAGCATTATGCAACTTTTTAGTATTACTACTTTTATAAATGGAGAGTAGCTTCACTTTTCTGGTTACAACTCAGATACACAAATCTAAGTCTTCCTTCTGTTTAAATTCTTCAGGGGCTGCCACTGCCGCAAGGGAGGCCCTGCTGCCTGGACCCATCCAGCTGGCGTGTCTCGGGACATTCACCGGGCTGCAGATGTTGTGGGCGTGCCCAGAATGCTCTACCCTCCCCGCTGCTACAGCAGGACCCAGTGAGAGGTGTCCCTGAGGGGCAGTGGGACCCCACCCTCTTCTTCCTCTTTGCTTTCCTGGCTCCTGCGGTGAGCACCTCGCTCCGCCATGCGCTGTGTTCACGATGTGGTCCCTCACTAGAGGTCTGGACAATGGAGCCATCTCATTAGGGACTGGAGCCTCTAAACCATGAGCCCAAATAAACCTTTTCTCTCTGTAAGTTAAACGCATCAAGTATTTTGCTATAGCAACGAAAGGCTAATATAACTTCTTGTTCAAGTAGTAAAACTCCCTCCTGGAGGATGCCTATGTCGTCCAGGGGCCATGCCCTGTGCCTGGGCTCAGCCCCTGCCAAAACCTCCCCTTCCTCTCTGCACAACCAGGAGGCCTGGTGACCCCAGGACCCTAACTGGCCATAACACTTGGTACCTGGAGGCTGTGAGAGAAGACTCTTTCCCTGTCTAGATGCACAAGTTCAAGGGAACACACAAGCCTAGTCCCTAAGGAACTATGTGCCCTCCCCTTCCTCCTGCCCACCCTGCAGTGCAGAAAGGCTGCTGAGGAGTGGGCTGACCGAGAGCCTGCAGGGCTGAAATGGGAAAGAAGAGGGAAAGAGAAAGCCTGATAATTGTATTTAAGTACCTGGAGACAACTATGCCTGCAGCCTCTGGACTTCATTTTTTGTTTTTTGTTGTTGATGATACAGGTCTCACTATACAGGTCAGGCTGGACTTGAACTCACCATGAAGCCCAGGCTGGCCTCAAACTCACTGTGATGCCCCTGCCTCAGCCTCCCAGAGCACAGGGAGGGCAGGTGTCACCACGCCAGCCAGCCCCTGAACTTTAAAGACTGGAACTAATGCATTTTAGAAAAGCTTTTCTTTCTCTTTGACTACTTCTCACTAGTCTCTACTATCTGCAGTAACAGGGGATGGCGGTTCTTAAACACACCGTCATTTCCGTTTTCAGCGGGCCTGTGCCTGTGCTCTTCCTGCTACCTATATTTGGTACTGACCTTGTCCACCAGATCTTGCCATGGCTCAGGCCCAGCGTTCTCGCTGCTGAGCAGCCTTCTGTCCCTGTTGTCTCTGCAGACAGTGGAGAGGCCGCGCTATGGCAACCACGGCTCTGCAGGCCTTTTACACTGCTCAGCGATTCTCGCTGTGGGCAGGGGCCTCCAGGACGTGGGGCGTGTCCTCCTGGGCTCTGTGCCAGATCCCCAGTGTGGCAGTGCTGGGACATCATGGACCCTTTAAGAGGCAGAGCCCAGGGGAAACTTCGGGGCACCACCCTCAGAAGGGATTAACAGACGCTCACAGGATCCCAGTTACTGCTTCAGAGCAGGTTGCTATAAGTGACCCAGGCCCCTGAATTCCTATGGTTCCTGCCTCTCCTCCTTGTAATCTCTCCCTCTTGAACACACCCCCACCATGATGCCACCCGCCATGTTGTGACAGAACCAAGAAGCCCTCCCCAGAGCCAAGCAGATGTTAGCATCACACTCCTGGACTTCCAGAACTGTCAGCAGTAAACCTCTTTTCTTTATAAAGTTTGCAGCCTCCGGTATTTTGTTATACCAACAGATGATTAATATACCCCCCACTAGACTCTGAGTTTCTTAGGGGAGAAAGGGTTGTGTTGCTCATACCCTCAGTCCTGAAATGAGAGGGAGAGGAAGTGGTACTGCAACCTAGAAGGATGGTGGTGTGGGAGAGCTACCTGACAAGAGATGTGGCCTCGGGAGACAACTATGGTTGCCCACAGTGATCCACCGGGGAAAGCCAGGGGATGGGGGTCGGGAGACCACTCCCCTCTCCACTGCCTTCATGTGAGGCCAGATGGCCCAGGTGATATATTCCTTGCCATCTCGGGGTTACAGAGCTGGAAAGAGGAGGAAGAGGAAGGCTCCCAGCCGCTAAGCTTCCTCTCTACATGGGATGAGAGGGCCTGCGGGGGCGGGCCGAGGGACCCCGAGACCACAGGTGCCCACACCTGACCAGCTCCACTGAACACACAGCTTTTATCAAACTCGCTGCCACTGCCTCCGTGGCGTGTGCTGTGTGCCACCTGGACATTCACTCAGATATTCCAGGGCTCCTGCTCAAACCTGCCCCGTGAGGCCCTTCCCATGGGAGAGACATGGCCAGCAACGCCCAGGCCAGGGCACAGATGCTAACAGATGCTAAAAGCTGCTGGATCACGAAGAGCAAGACACCACAGCCCCGGAGCTGTGACAGACCATGCCCCTGACGCCCACCCGGCCAGAGCCTCCACTACTCCCTTCAGAGAGTGGACAGGGCCCAGCCTGGAAGCCCCACATCTGTCCCAGGGAAGTGACTGCATCCGTGCAGATCACCAACGCTGCTCTTTTTCACATACTGGGGATTGAACTCGGGGCTTTCACATTGAGCCTCCAACCACGGTCCTTTTTAAATTTTTATATTGAGAGAGGGTCTTGCTAAGTTGCTGAGGTGTCCAGGCTGACCTCTAACTGGCAATCCTCCTGACTCAGCCTCCCAGAGTGCTGGCATTACAAGCATGCCCCACTGTTCCCAGCTACTAGTGTTGCTCTTGAAGGCAGAGGTTGCTTGTTGGTGTCCTCTGGAAGAAGGAGGAAAATCTGAACCAAACAATCAAATTTCCTCTCCAGAGGAAAGCTGCAGTCCTAATCTGCCCTGGGCAGAGCAGCCCCTCCTGCCATCAGCACTGCAGAAGAGGCGCTGGCTGGGCCCTGACCTCAGCCCGGGCTCCTGGCCAGTGCACCCTCCACTGGCTGCTCAACCTTGGCAACCCTTTTCTTGCTGGGCCAAGCGCTGTGGGGTGCGGACTCCTGGACCCATGCAGACTCTCTCTGCGGCTCTCAGACTGTGATTTCCTACCGTGTTTCTTCCTCTCCTCACAGCTGGGATGTCCGCAGTGGGCACAGTGCTCACACCCGGCTGGGGCCAATGTCCCAGTGACAGCATTTCCCCTCACCCCACCGCCTGTGCGGGCAGCTGTGCTCCAGGTCAGGCTTCATCCCAAGGCAGACACGGAAGGAGAGGGAGGCTCACTGTGCCCCACAGCCTCGGGCCCTCTCCCAAGGAAAGTGAGCTCCAGGAAGATGCCAAATAATTCATCTCGGTGCACAGACTGAAAGTTTACAAGTGAAAACCCCATCCCAGTGATGGTGCCGAGAGGTGGCCCCTGGAGTGGATTAGGTCACGAGGGCAGAGTGCTTATGCACAGGGTCGGTGCAGTTACACCAGACCCCTGAGAGCACGCAGTCCTTTCCTCCATGTCAGGGCCCAGTAAGACGGGGACAATCGTGAACAGGAAGTGGGCCTGTGCCTGAACTCAAACACCCGGGCACCCTGACTCTGGACTCCGGGACTCTAGAACTGTGAGAAACAGATTCCTACTGTTGGTAAGCTGCCCAGCCCATGGGACTTCAGTAACGCAGCCTGAAAATCCAGGCATCCACGGAGAAGGCTATCTTAGGAGATAAATGGGTAGGGTGAGGAAGGCTCTGCTTAGATTTAACCCCTCTGGAGAGAAGAATTTGACTTCAGAGGGTCCTAGGACATTGCTAACACTCATAACAAGATACACACAGTGACTCCCAAGGAGGGTGGATGTGGAATTACCCACAATCCAGCTGTCACACGAATTCCAAGACCCCCGTGACCAGGACTGAAAACGCATGTCCTTCCTAGAGCGCCCTGACTTACAAAGCATGTCAACACAGCCTGCTGTGGGGGCTGCTGCAGCCTCCCCTCCAGGACCACAAGAAGGGACTGTCAGCATCACACGAGGGCCTCCAGCTTGGGGGTCAGCTTCTGGGGTCTAGAAGGTGAACAGCAGCATTGGGTGCGGGACCCGGGGCAGGTTGGAACCGCAGTGGGCTGAGATGGGAGTCTGCCCACGTCCTGGACAGGCAAGAGAGAGGACGGCGGGAAAACTGGACCAGAGAGCCCACACAGCTCAGCCGAGGAGGAGGCTCCGTGTGGATCGCAGTGGATCAGCTGCAGGGTTAGGAAGGAGGAACTGCATCCAGACGCCCTGAGGGGCCGGCCAGAAGAGAGCGCTCCACCTCGAGCTCCCAGAGTGGGAACCCTGGCGGCTGGCGGCACCAACAGGAAAGACTTAGTCCTGCGGAGGATGGGCTCCAGCAGGCAGAAGCGCCTCCCCCAAGCCTGCAGGCCACCACCCGCACCTGACAGGAGGCCTGCAGTCCCCGTCCTGAGCTTCACACTCCGGTCCAGGTTCCTGACCACTGCTCTCTCCTGCTCTCTGCCTCTCAGCACCTCACCGTTCCGCAAGGCCATGAGCTCGAATCACATCAGCAACGCCCGGCACCATCTGCAGAAGGCAAGCCGGTGCCCTCCCTAAGGAGGGCGGCAAAATGACTCCCGGAGGCCCAGCCAAGCTTTTATTAACGTGCTGATTAGGTGAGAAATAGTCACTTCCCTGTATTCAAAGAGAAGAAAGAGAGTACAGGAACGCTGGCCTCCATCTCTCTCCGCGAGGCAACATTTCAGATAATAAGCAGGTCCGCAACAGATGGACGGGCTTTAGCACTCCTGAGGGGAGAGGATGGGGCCAGTCTGTCTCGGCTCTCTCTAAATCTAGAGAGCGTGCGCCAGCGTGAGCGTGGGCGTGTCTGCCCGTGTGTGTGCCTGTGTGTGTCTGCCTCTGTGTGTGTGTGTGTGTGTGTGTGTGCGTGCACGTGAGAGGGGCAGACGGGAGGAGGGCAGGGGATGAAGGAGAGCAGAAAAGGCCAAGTGGAACCACGGAGAAGGAGAGCAGGAAGCATAAGCACCAGGTGACTATAAGGAATATGAGGAAGAGGAAGCAGCTAGAAAACAAAAGAAATTCAGGAGACAAAGCAAACCAATTTTCAAAGGAGACTGTCAGTTGGGGAACTCGCTGAAGAGGACGGGTAACCGACCATTTCCCTGGTGGTGTGGATGGAGCCCCGGAAGGCGACGTTCCGGAGTGAGCTCCCGGCAGGCAGGGCAGCGCCCACCGAGCCTCTCTTTCCGGGCCAGCTTCTCCCTGTCTGCGGAGTCGGGGGTGCCCGGATGGAGGCCCAAGTTTCTTTCCAGGCTCTCGGGCGCTCAGCTATGGCTGCGGTCTCTCGATGGCCAGAGCCGCGCAGGTCCGAACCCCAGAGGCCCAGATCGATCGCCTTGGCAGAGTCCAGGGGTGGGCGGGCCGTGTGCCACCAGCCTCTGACACCTGTCCCTGGAGTGTCCTCTCCTCACAGCGACCTCGGCCCGCTCCAGCCTCGAGCCACCCTCATCACAGGAGCTTGCTCTGCTGGCTTCCAGGACTGGGAGGCGCGTAGCGCGCTCTTACACTTTATTATCCTGAATGCACTAGAAATTTCCAGGTGCGTCCTGGAACACCCGGGCCAGCACACACATCCATTTCTGTCTTCCGGACTGTTTTACTCGCTTAGCCAGGCCATTCTGAGAAGACACAGTGTGACAGGTAAGGACTCGAGCTGCCCCCGCCCTTGGTCTGGACTCTCTTCTGTCCACTCACTCTGTGACCCTGGCCAGTTACAGAGACTCCACAGCTTCGATCCTGCATCGTGAAATGGGGACGGTACGGTGGAGCAAACCTGTAACCCCCGTACTCTAGGAGGCTGGGCCAGAATGTCACGTGTTCAAGTTCAGACTGGGCAACTTATCAACAGAAAAGGGTGAAACACTGGTCAGTGTGAAGGGTCTGGGTCAAATCTCCAGTGTCACAAGCAAAAAGAGGGGAGGAATGTTAATAGCAAGTGCTCCTCCATCCCGGGGCTGCTGGGGGAGGGGAGGAGCTTGTCAGGCTGGAGCACTGTGCCTGTCCTGTTCAGAGTACTTAATAAACATCAGCCAAAGGACTGCCCTCCGACGCCCTTTGCATCCATGATGACACCGCAAAGATGCTATCCCCTTCCCTCCCCTCTGTGACAAGCTCAGGTCTGCTTGAATCCTTGCTGACAGTGGCAACCCATCCCTCAAAGTCCACTTTCTCCTGTGGATTAATTCAGAATTTAGCCTCGATCCATAAATGGTCTGAAATGAATCGAATGCAGATTTCTGATATTGCCTGCACCATTCCTGCCAGCAAGCAGCAATCATCTCCCACCTCTGCTTCGTCCTCAGCTCCAGTGAGTCACTCACACCCTCTCTAACCACAGTTCACATTTTTGCTCCAATGCACAGTTACTCTGCATATTTCTGCTCCCTCCACTCTCTGCCGGAGCCTTTCTGGCTGCTTTTCTTCATAAGATCTTTGCACATACCACACAGCATCAGTGTTCATGCTGTTAACCCTTTGGTGGACGCACTAGAGAGCAAGGGCAGAGGAGCAGCCAGGCCTCCCGGCACACACCTAACCTAACCCTGGGAGGCTGAGGCAGGACGACCGCAAGTTTGGGCCCAACCTGAGCAACTTCTACCCGCAGTGAGACATCCATCGCAAAAAATATAGGAGCCAAGCTTCAGTCCCCAGTACTGCAACAAAAAAAAAAAGAGGAAAGAGTAAGAGAGTAGAGGAGCAGTGAAGTCCCAGCCAGTGTTTAGGGAGTGTGGGTTGGGGTCGCAGTCCATCATTAGTGTCCTGTTTGGCACCACAGTGTGTCTATGTTTCACATGGAAATGGGGACCTTTGAATCCTCTTCCTAAACAACTTCAGTCAATGCAAAGTGAAGGCCCTTGGCTGACCTATTTTGCTCCTAGCTTCCAAGCCCTGAGATGGAGGAAGCTTTGTACACTTACGCACCTCTGTCACCTCTGTCATGGCATGCTACTGTCCCTCTGGGCCATGAGCTCCCTCAGGTCCTGCCTGGTGCTTGCCTCTCCCAATCATCCCCTCCCACTCCTTCCTCTCCATGCCCGCACCGCCCCAGCCCACGCTGCCTCATATGGAGCGACTTGGTGCTCTGCGAATGGAACAGGGCTCCACACATACTCCAAGCGTGTCTTGGCTGTTCACCTCCTGGTACCATCCTGCCCCACACACCCCACCTTCCAGAGGCCGGGTGGGTGTCTCCACCCTGCCTTCCTTAGCCCTCTCGGGAGCCCTGCTCAGACACATGGCATGCTAAGCCATAGCCATTCTCAAGCACTCTACACCTCATGGAGCTTCCGGGCAGAGACTGTGTCCCCTGTCTCTCAAGCCCCAGGGCCCTCTATGCCAGGGACTGTTATGGCTGTGTCCAGCTGTCCCCCCCGAGCCTCACTTGCCATAGGTGGGGCTTTTCCAGGGGACTGACAATACTCCACCCTGGGTTTGAGTGTTACCTGCTCTGGAGGAAATACAAGGGACAGAAGCCTTGCTGCTACTGCTGCTGCACTACTTTGCTGCCTTCTGCCCTGCCCTGCCATGGACTTTTTCTCCCCTGTGATGCCCCTTTGTGATGTCACCCTGCCTAGAAGCCAGCTGACTGAACTGAAATCTCTACAGACTGTGAGCTAAATAAGCCTTTCCTCCTTTAACTTTGGGTGTCGGGTATTTTGTCTTGGCAATGAGAAAAGTAACCAAGACATGGACATTAGGTGAAGAATTTCCTGACTTGACTTAAAACTGGAACTCAGTTGAACAGAAGCAAGCAGAGCTGGGGTTTTCTGCTAGCCTAAGAACTAACACAAAAACGCTGTAGGCAAAGAAACACGTCAAAGGGATGGGAGTCAGCAGGTCCCACCGGGAACATGCACCACCTGACTCGTCCTTGCTCTTCATCTTCTTTGCTCCCTGGTGGCCATGGAGCCACAGCTGCTGTGAGAGGGAAGAGACTTTGCATGGCCAGCACTGCCTGCCTGCAGGACCACAGGCCAGCACATTAGAGAGGATGCGAAGCACCAGGTGCCGATCTCCTTGGTACACCCTGGACGTGGTTGGGCTGCTGGGACCATTTCTGAGCCTGTAGACCTGCTGGGCTGATTGGAAGTCTGGGTTAAAGAAAGGGGTCTGGGATTCTACGTAGCCTAAGGGGTCTACAGGAGAGCCTGCTGACTCTAGGCAAACTGCCCCCTTTCCTGTAGCTCTCTGTCCCTCCACTCATCCTGTTTACTTGGGTTTGGCTTCCTGACCAGGTGGAACAACATGAACTATGAAATTCCTTAAGCCCTGCTTCTGAGAACTACCAATTTCTATTGTTCTCCAATACCCCAGAATTCTCTTATTAAGGTAGCAGCACAAGCCGGGCACAGTGGTGCACACCTGTAATCCTTGCACTCAGGAGGCTGAGCCAGGAGGACAGCCATGAGTTCAAGACCGGCCTGAACTCAAAAATAAATAAATAAAAGGTAGCAGCACAATTCATAACAGCTAAATCCCGGAAGCAGCCTGCATACCTGTCAATAGACAACTAGATAAAGAAAATGTGGTATCTATATGTAATGGAATACTACTTGGCTGTGAAGAAAGACAAATGTGAGACATTTGTAGGAAAATGGATGCATTGGAAAATACAATGTTGAACGAAATAAACCAGACACACAAGCTTAAATACCGTATGGTACCTCTCACTTGAGTAAGGCAAAGTACAAACAAATAGATCAATAGAAGGTAGCTAGATGGAGTCAAGACAATGGATCTCTTGCAAATGGGAAGGAAGATACGAGACCAAAGGTGAGGGGTGAGGAGGAGCAGAAGGGGAAATAAGTAGAATAAAGATGTGCCAAGTTCAGGAGCCTAATAACCTCAGTGACTGTGAACATCATGTGCCATAATGTGAGTTAAGATTAACAACATGAACAGGAGTGAAAATGAGGAGAGGAGAACTGGATGGGGAGAGAGCAGTGGGGAGGGGAGGGGATTAAAAAGGGAAGCAAGTTGTGTTATGTGCATGTCCCGATGCCCCGGGGTGATTGTAAATCCAGGCACTGCAGACATGTACTAATAAAAAAATAAAATAGGAAGACAAGATTAAAGGACAACCAGTTAGCCACAGAATGAGCCTCTCGAGATATGAAGAGCCTCGTACGGACAGAGCAGTGCATGCACACACACATCTAAATGAGACATACACACACATCAAATGTTCCCAATTCGTGCATATATCCTTAGATAGGCTACTTAGACAGTCCCATCCCATAAATCATCTAGACAAGAAAAGGACTCCAAGAATAACAGAGGTGCTAAAGGTACAGATCAGCTCCACAGCCGAACTGTAAGGAAGTGCTGATGCTGCTCTCAGTATGGCTTTCGCCAGCAAGTAAATGTCAAACAACAGCAGCATTCTAAAGGCCAAGAACAAAAATGACTGTGCCAGTTTCGAAGGATGTTGACATCTAGACCAGCGAGTTCCTCCTAAAGTATGAGAGACTAACATATCTAAAGGCCATGAAGGGAAGGTTTACAGGCCACAGCGAAAACCAGAGCTCAACAAAACAAGTGTGCTAAATCAGTGGTGACTGAGAGGAAGGAGAACTCAGAGGCAAAGGACGGCCATGATGTCCAACAAGATGTGGCACAGGGCAGGCAGACAGCTCTCCCCCCAAGAGCCAGGCCTCCCGCCCTGCTGTCTTTGATCTCCCACAGGAGCCAGATGGCACTGCCCAAGGTCACTTTGGGTAGCAGGGCGAGTTCTCAGCTACGTCACAGTATTGATTCCCGGGAATTCTGCAGGTTCTGACACCTCAACTTTCAACATATTTCTCCTTAGTCCAGCGCCATGCTGTTATGTGACTGATCTTTGCTTATGTGTTGCTCCAAGAACCCTCTGAGGAAGGTATCATTCACTCTGTTTTACAGATGAGGAAACTGATACCCAGAAAGGTTCTGTAACCTCCCTGCGGTCTTGGAATGAGTGTAAGAGCAGCTATAGGCCCGTGTCTGACATCAACACCTGCACTCAATCAACAGGGTGAGAAAAAATAGCCCCAAGGGAAAGACAATTCTAATGAGTCACCAGAGGGAGGATAGGTACTCTGTGGGGCAAGTTTCTCCAAAATCGTTCAAATTCTCCAACTTCTGCCAACCAAAAATACTTGCAAGGTGGTCAGCCTGGGGAAGAGTCAAGTCTACAGTCATATAACAGAATTTTTCTCTAAATGAGAATAACTAACTGGTCCATACAGAAATACAGGTAATGTGCCCAGGGTATTAGGAAATAAGCCCTTGGCCAGAAGTAGAAGACATAAGGTGGGGGGAAAGAAAAGAAGATTAGCCTTCCTTTTCATTAAACCTTTTCAGAGAAAGTACATCAACCCGTTTCCTCCCTCCTTTGTAGTAAACATGGGGCAGAGAGCACACACAAAAAATCAAATCCACCCAAAAAAGATTTTCCAAGGGAAATAATAATCTCAATCCCAGAATTTGTGCAGGCTGGCGAGATCTGGAGGAGCATCAAGGAAGATCTCAGGATAATGGTACTGGTCAGCAAATTAGATGCACCACTGCAATCCCACAAAGCAGCAAAAGTCAACGCCAGTGTGACTTGCAAACTTTGCTAGCCAAGACTCCAGTCACACTGGAGTCAGAAGAGGGGTCGGTGCCCACTTTGTCACCCTCAGTGTCCAGTCTGACCTCAGGCTGGAAAGCTCATGTCCAGTGCCCCAGTATCCCAGGAGGCAAAGAGGTGGAACGGGGCAGAGGAGAAGGTGAGTGGAACACACATGCTATGAACAGGTCCAGACAGGCGAGGCGCAGCTGAGAGGCAGAACTTCTAGGGGAAACAGAGCACTGACATTGCTTGCTTTCTTGAGTATATAAAGGATAAGGCAAGAGGGCCATAGGCTGCTGAGACTCACAGGGGCCCCAATGCGCCCTGCAGCTGCGCCCTGCTGGGGACCAGGGGTTCCCGGGTCTCCCCAGATGAGCACCATGACGGTGCTGATCTCTCCTTAGAAACTGAGACAAGTTTCCTACGGTGACCTACAGATGAATGCTTGGATCCAGCCCAAATCCTTCCTCCTCAACTCAGACCATTTCATTTTCTGTGGACTTCCAAAGAGAATAATCATTTCTCAGCAGCCTTCATGGAGAAAACAATTCCATTCCCAAAGGCCAGTAAGTGGCCGTTCAGTTTTCTCTCTCAAACTGAACAACCCTGATTCCTTAACATTTTTCATGCCTTCCATTTTTCCAGCTGTCCTCCCATTTTTGTTTTTGTTTTTGTTTTGTTTTGTTTTGTTTTTGAGGAAAAAAACGTTGCTGGGGAAGAAAGAGCGAAGAAGGAACTTTAAAATCAGAGCTCTGCCACAAAGGACCCAAATGTGTCCAAAATGCGACCCGCCACACCCTGCGGACCTCTGTGCTACTGAGTGTGGACCAGGAGACTGTGGTGTGGAGGGGCTGGACATCAAAAATGCCTGGCAGCCCCCAGCCTCCAGGCCTCTTGGCCCACACGCCGCGAGTACCACACCCTCCGTCTTAGCGGGACAGCCAGATTCCCGGTAGCATCAGATGCCCATCCCGTCCCTCTGAGCAGAAGGCAGTGCAGTCCGTCTCCGTCCTCTGACTGGGGAGCCTCCATCAGGTCACCCCCACCCAGTCAGGGCCAGGCAGAGTCCATCCAGTTCCTGTGCCCAGTGACAGTGCTGTACACTTCCGGGAGCACACGAGGGAGCCACATCCACTGGAGACCATGGGCAGCAGCACTGTGTGAAGAGACCCTGCCCGACTCTTCCTCTTGTGTCTGCGAAGCACAAGGGGCCCAGTCCCTTGCCCCTTCTGGAGAGCCACGAGATAGCCAGAGACCTGCCCACGGCCCAGCCGGGCGCGGCCCTCAGGCTGCCCTGATTCCGGACCCCAGGCTGCAATCGAAGCTTACAGCAGCTCATAGTCACGACAGTCACACAGAGTGTCCCACGGCAGAGTGGACAGAGCAGAGTGCTGCATCTGACCCACTGTCACCGCCAGGCTGACAAGGAGACACTGAGCCCAGCAGAAACCATGAGCTTCGAGGGCACCAATGACTTGCACCCCACTGCGCTTCAGTGACTCTGGCTGGTAAGGTGCTTCTTACCCTGAATACCGTCCCAGGTCCCCTCGGTTGCTCACCCCCAGCGAGTGAGGGGTAGGGAGCTCCCTTCTTGCAGTCGGAGGTGGACAGGGAGGAGGAGGTTACATCCTCAGGGAGACGGGACCCTGTGCTCTCACATCCGGCATCCTGCATCCTAACCCAAGGCAACTGCACCAGCTGCCACACACATTCTCGTGAGGTGAACTCATGCCCCCTCTGTGGCTTCCAGACAAAAATAATTGGCAGGTGTAAACAGGGAGCAAGTTCAAGAGCAAAGCCCAGCTTCAGGTCAAGTGTTTTGCAGCCCCGGATCCTTCTGCTCTGGTTTGGAGAAGCTTTTTAATAATATATATGTAAAATAATTTTTTCAAA